CAGCAGCAATGAACCAAGCAATCCCAGCATGGACTCTCCTTCAACATGTATTGTTTCCTCATCTTGCTGCGGTAGAAGCATGAGTATATGCAGGCACAACCAAGCAAACAAGAAACCAGTGTATACAATGCTCCACTGGCACCACATGCTGCATATATATACAAAATCAAACCATTCATTACTTAGTATCTCTTTCAACGCAACCAAACCAAGCTTTCCCTTTCATATCACCATCACATATATAGTTTTTTTTTCTCAGAAATAAATAGTTTCTTACACGTTGATCCCTTGTCAACAATCTCTGCAATTTGACCAAACGTGATGCATGGGCACCAGAACGTTATGCAACCTTAAACAAAACAGAGATGAACAATATGTAAGAAAGGGTCAACATCAAAGAAATCAGTATAAATGTATCAAAAAGGAGCTTACAGTTTTTGAAGTTGGAGAAGCAATCAAAGAGGCCCGTGGACCATTCCCCCTCGGCCAGGGGTTTCGGATTGTAAGCCGCCGGAAAACCAGTGGCAGCGGGCTGATTGTAGGGTGGTTGTGCACCTTGTGAGGTTGGTAGAGACATAACTGTTACAAAAAACGGACAAAGCTTAGAAGGGGTCGGAATATGATAATGGTGAGAGGCAGCGCCACCCCCAACAATTTATAGTAGAACTGAGGAACAATGTTCAATATTTTTTTGTCCACTAATAATTTTCATTTCACCCATAGATATAACCTAAACGAGGTTTTGTCTTTTTAAACTAAATATTTCTGCATGCGAAATTGCGCTTCTACGCAAATTCTGAATAAAATATTATACACTTAAAATACAAAAAAGAGAAAATAAAAAAACCCGACGAGGCAACGAAAAACAAAACGACTGCATCGTTTTTTTTATATTAATAAAATAAATAATATTGCTTAATTATTAAATTCTTGTTCTGTATCTAAACCCTAATTATTAAACAGATACAAAATAATAAAATCTAAAGTCATTTAACAAATTCGGCCTCGACGAATATTTTTAGTTTAAGGAAAAATATAGAATGGAATTAATATTTCAAATACCATCCAATTTTCGAATAAATTCGTGTGTTAAAATTATACCCAGGTACTTATGTTGTTATTTTTTTTAAGAACAAAATTTTACGGCAATAAAATAAAATTGACCATACAACTAATTATGTACCGAAAGAACATAAGAGTCCTCCCTAAGTGGGATTGGATTGAGACTCATTCAACAAATATTCAACTTTATTTATAAGCATGTATAAATGAAATTTTCGGCGTTTGCTATAAATAAATTGTTTTTTCTGTTTTATTTTTAATAATATTTTTTGATTTATACAAAATGCGGCATCTTATATATAGATTATATATTGTTATAGACATAATAAACAAAGTCATGAAAATAAAATTATATACATATACATATATATATATATATATATATATATATATATATATATATTTATAAATAATATATATAAAAAT